TTTTCACTAGGAGGGTGGTGAAACACTGGAATGGGTTACCTACGGAGGTGGTGGAATCTCCTTCCTTAGAAGTTTTTAAGGTCAGGCTTGACAAAGCCCTGGCTGGGATGATTTAGTTGGGGATTGGTCCTGCTTTGAGCAGGGGGTGGACTAGATGACCTCCTGAGGTCCCTTCCAACCCTGATAGTCTATGATTCTATGTTTTATTCGCCCATCTCAACCCAGCTCTAGCCACAGTCACATCCTGAATCCTTGTGGCTTGTTCTTAAGCAGCAACTGCATAATCTTTGACATAGTGAAGCCTCTTCCACCAGAAGCTGGGAATGGGTGACAGGGGGATGGATCGCTTGAGGATTGCCTGTTCTGTTCATTCCCTCCGCAGCACCTGGCATTGGCCACTGTTGGAAGACAGGATACTGGGCTAGATGGACCTTTGGTCTGACCCAGTATGGCTGTTCATAAATTTAAGAAGAACATAAATATGTCCAGGTCCTTTAAGATAAAGGATTTAAATACTATATATATATATATATATATATACACATATATACACACACACACACATTGCCACAGATGTGCTGTGAACACAATACAGCTCATTTGTAAAGCAAGGCCTGGACTGACAGCCTGGATCTGGATGCCCAAGGGCTTTGTCAAAGCTCAAAAACCAACCTTGGCGCCTGAGCCACATTTTGTAAGCTCCATTTTTTAATAATGGGCTGAACCAAAAGCCCTCACCTTAACACACATGCTCGAGCTAAGTTCTGGGAGCCTGAAAGCCAGACCCAGAGCTGAATTTTGCAGCTCTAGTCTGCCTGTAATCCCCAGTGCCCTGAACCACCTCATCCTTAACCGTCAGAGAGCTCCAGATGAGTTAGCCTAATGTATCCTATATCTGAGGACTGGCTCCCGCCCTGGCAGAGAATGGCCTCAAAGATCTAACAGCCCTTTTCCATCTCTCACTATTATCCTGTATGTGTTTTTGGTTTTTTCTTTCACAGGCAGAGGTGCTGAACCTAGCGATGCTGGGGGTGCTGCCGCAGCCCCTGGCTTGCAGTGGTTTCCATCATATCCAGGGTTTACAGTTGGGTTCAGTGGCTGTCAGCACCCCCAATGCACAAACTATTCCAGTGCCCTTGTTCACACGCCAATACCCCGCCTCCCCCCACCGGGGCTAATGCCCTTTCCTACCCTGTTTGTCTCTCCTCTTTGCTACCAGTTTGCCTCCAGTTCTATGCTGGTTGCTGGCCAGGTCAGGTCAAGAACTGGCAGCAGCGAGGTGTGTCTTGTTGACAGCCCTTGGAGGGCTGGGGTGTGAAGCAGCAGGGCAGGTTTCTACAGGAGCCTTCCCCGGTGCCAGGTTTAACAACCTGTCTCCTGGGTAGAAATGGAAAGCAACCACTTTGGAAACATGCTTAGACATGGAGCTGTCATGTTGTAACCAGTGCCTCCAGCACAAACACTCTTGGTTCAGGCTAGGCTGTAATTTGTACTGTGTCAGCCTTTCAAACCCACAGTGATTTGCAATCAGGGAAAAATGACTTGGTGGAAAGTGTGCTGGAGCATTTCCATGTGTTGCAACATGGTGGCTGCCAGCACAGTTTAACTGTCGTACGTGCAGGGCTTTAGTGTGTAATTTGCTTGATTTCTTTAATCATGGAAATCTTGGAAGTCTGTTGAGTGTTCTGGGCAGGTTTATAAAATGTTCTTGGTGGCAAGCGAACAATAAGACGGGTATAAAGAGAGAAAAACCCTGTGAGCAAAATTAGTCATCAGCTAGTGGAGATCACAGTCAAGACAGAGTGTATTATGATATTTAATGGCCACGTGACTGGTATGCTGCTTATATGCCAGTTGCCATAGAAACTTACAGGAAGCATATTCTAGTAATTTTCCTAAAGGGAAAGCAAAATTAAGGAAGGGTGTCACGGTGGAGGCTTTATTTGGAGTTGAAATCAAGCCCCATGCAGAACTGGACAGGAAATCATTTTCCTGTTCCCCCAAGAATTTTGAGATTTTGACAAATTTTCCCATCCAAAATGGGACAAAACGTCAAATCTCAAAAAATTTTCTGAACTGAACAAAAAAAATTTAGCTTTGGATCAAGCAAAAATATTTGTTTGGCTCATTCTAAACCATGGTTTTGACTTTTGATCTTTCCCAATGTTTCTGACACTTGTATTTTTTTATACTATATATTCATTTAAATTTTGAAACTAAAAGTTGTTTCAGAACAAAACATGGAATTTTTTGTTCTGAAAATGCCCAAATGGGGCATTCTGAAAGTTTTTCCGATGTTATTTTTAAATGGCAAATTAGTTTAAACTAATTCTTTCCAATTACCAGTGTCCATTTTGATGAACTGGGATTTTCCAGTGAAAAAATGTTAGTCAAAAGCATTCCCAACCAATTCTAGTCCCAGACTCAGCTGGTGCGTGGACAAAATGTATTTTCTTAAGCCGAAAGGCTCAGTTGTTCTGAGGAAGTGAACCGTAGGTCAGATTGCAGGGTGGGCGGCAGAGTTTACAAAGGGCTAGCAGCTCCATTTTTTCAAGACAGAGGACAGGTGTAAACAAAAAGTAATGTCACTAAGGCAGTGGCTCTCAACCTTTTCAGACTACTGTACCCCTCTCAGGAGTCTGATTTGTCTTATGTATCCCCAAGTTTCACCTCACTTAAAAACTACTTGCTTACAAATTGCTTACTTTCTCATTTTAACCATATAATTATAAAATCAGTTGGAATATAAATATTTATTTCAGTGTATAGTATAGAGAGCAGTATAAACAAGTCATTGTCTGTATGAAATTTTAGTTTGTACTGACTTCGCTAGAGCATTTTCCGTAGCCTGTTGTAAAACCAGGCAAATATCTAGATGAGTCTATGTACCCCCTAGAAGATCTCTGTGTACCCCCAGGGGTACAGGTAACCCTAGTTGAGAACCACTGACTTAATGCACTAATGGCAGGTGCTCAGATGCTATGGCAATAAGGAAGTTATAGCAGAGAAATCCAGTTTATGACTTTAGTTAGGTTCATAGTTTTCCTTTATCATTCATAATTATACGCAAGAAACATCAAACTAAAATGAAGTGCTGGTTCTTGTAGTAATTTCTTGTGGTGTTTTTTTTCTAGCCTGGTTTAATTTTTCCTTTTAGTGTTAGCAATGTATTGACCACCTATCTTTTTATTTCCCTTCTGTTGTTTGAAATAAAGCAGACTCCAGCGTGTAATGTACTAATGAGGAAACGTGCACTAACACCATGGAAACATCATCTAGTCAATATTATAAGAGGCTGGCAGGAACATGACCTTTAGCGCATAAAACTTTAAACTCTTAAAATAAGGGTGATTCTGTGACAGCCAAAAACCTCTGGCCTGACCTTCAAAGCTGCTGAGCAGCATCCACATCCCCCATCGGCTTCAGGAGGAGTCATGAGCTCTCAGAACCTCTGAAAATCCAACCAGTCACTTATTTTGCTCCCTTAATGGAAACCCCCCTCCGCATTCCATGGTGCTTCTAGATGGCAAATTAGGGGTGAGAGGTGATAACAGAGGGAGACGGAAGCATTCATTCATCACATTCACCAGGATCATACGGGAGATAAGAAAGTCTCAAATCACCACTAGGGCACGGGTCTGTTTTATAAAAACTCCAGTTTAATCTCATGGTTGAGATCTGGCAAAACTTAAATTCTTAAAGCAATAAAAGGCACAAAGGCAGGCAATCCACCTGGACAATAAGGCTTAACAAAAATACGATCCATCGGGACTAGCAGAAGAAATAATCAATAGCCCATAAGCCAGTCCTTTTCACCCAACATCTGATTTCCAACCATTCCCCCTGACTTGCATCAAGTCAGTATTTTGAAGGGGACTAATGGATGCAGGAGTGAGCTGCAAACTTTTCTGGGGTCTGCACTGACCACTGGGCCCTAAACAGGACTTGGCTACTGATTTCCTTCTCTTTCCAGGCTCAGTTCAGCTCCCATTGAAGTCAATGGCAAGCTTTCCATGCATTATGCTAGTAGTTGGAGCAGGCTGTTACTACTAAGCATTATGTTAATCAGGATCAGTTTAAGACTAAACAGGGTTTGGATCAACCATAGGATCTCACCAACCCATGTATATTTATTTTTGAGAGAAAAGATAGCAGAGAAGTAAAAATCAGGGAGCCTCAGGGAAAATGTGGAGTTGAAACTCCATCGGACATCTAAGGAAGAAATCTGTCATGGTATTTTGGGACTCGCCAATCTATTCCATCCTTTTCTAGGACCCAGTTCCGCTCCCGTTGATTTCAGTGGGAGTTTTACCATTGACTTCAATGGTAGTAGGATCTACCGTCGACCCACAACTAGCAATAATCAGATCTAAGAATCTAGCTTCACCTTCCTGTGCTGGTTATAACTTGTTCCAGCTCACACTCTCAGCAGTAAAGAAATTTTAATGGAAAACTATATCTGTACATCAGCCCAAGTTTCACAGATGTGATGGACCTGTTTAGACAATTCCTTCATTTTTAATTACATTTTAATATATTTATATATAATGTTCTTATATATATATATATATATATAAAAAATTAACACAGTATTCATCAGTACAGGCATTATACAATCTAAAGAAAGAAAAGATAAAAAGATTTTGATTGCACTTTTTGGACTCTGGCTGGTGGAAACAGTTGCAGGCTTTTCTGCTGCTGTCTGCTGCAGACCTAACCTCCTCCAGAGCCCTAACGTGCTGAAAGGCTGCATCAAAGAAGTGCTTCAGCCTTTGTAAAATGAGCGAATGGGATGGACAGTCTAAGTTAATATAGTTTACAATGTAATGTACAGTCCTAGCTCCTGCTTTCCCCCAAGGACATGACTGCACCAGCCAGTCTCACACTCATCAGTGCTCCTGCCATGGAACCGGGTGACTCCCCCCCCCCACCCACCCCACCCCACCCCCCCCACACACACAAGCCACCAAAGCTCTTCCCTGTCAGCCAGGTGATCCCCCCCCAACATCCAACACCCCTCCCATCCAGCTGGGTGGTCCCTACATCCATTCAGCCAAGTGACCCCCATACCATACTACCTATCCAGCTAGGTGAATCCCACTTCCACCTCCCCTTGATGCAGGTGACCCCCACCATCCAACACCCCTCCCATCCAGCCAGGTGACCCCCCATACCCACCAACACCCTGCAATTAATGGGAGCTGCATGCATCCCCTCCTTGTACTGTATAGAACGGGAATTGACCCATCTGGGTATTCCTTGTCCCCTCTTCTAGATCTCATAAATTAACAGAAGTGTGATATACAATGTCAGAATTAGGCCTGAGGGCATAAGAGGCCACCTGAAAACCCTAAAAGAGAGGCCCTCACACTCTTCACAGGATGGGAGTGGGGGAGGAACTGTAGCCTTGTGATCTAGTTAGGAAAAGCATTTCCATGCTAATAAAACCAGGCAACAGATACCTCCCCTACACTTAGGAAGATCCTATATTGTGGGATGAACCTGTCTCCCATAAATGCTACTCCAATGGGTGCAGGGTATGCTGCACATGGACATGGGGCAGAAGTGCACCCAAAAATGGGATGGCTAATGTGAATGTGCTACACTATTACAACTTACTCTGGTTCAGCTGCACTGGTGCAAGTTGCAATGGTGCAGTTCTCTATTGCACATATGGTTCTACCAACTGCACCAAGACCCTACAGCATAGCTTGGACCTTTTCTCTAAGCTAGTAGCAACTGGTCTGAAACAGATTCCCAGTTCCAAGCCCTATGAATTCTGGGAAAGTTTGTTTCCAGAGCTGAACTTGGTGACTTGGGCCCAGCTCTACAATCAGCTGACATGGATAATTTAATCTAAATCCTCCCAACTCCGCAGAACTTGATTTCCTGATCCAAACTTTGTGGCACAGGTCCATCTCTGATTGCTCTCTGGAGAAAATAATTAAGCAATCAATTTGCAAACAGCTACAAGATAATAAGGTGATAAGCAACAGTCATCATGGATTTGTAAAGAAGAAATCATGTCAAACCAACCTGATAGCTTTCTTTGACACGGTAACAAGCCTTGTGGATAGGGGGAAGCAGTAGACGTATATCTTGACTTTAGTAAGGCTTTTGATACTGTCTCACATGACCTTCTCATAAAACAAACTAGGGAAATACAACTTAGATGGGGCTACTATAAGGTGTGTGAATAACTGGTTGGAAAACCGTTTCCAGACAGTAGTTATCAGTGGTTCACAGTCAAGCTGGAAGGGCATGAGTGGGGTCCCACAGGGATCAATTCTGGGTCTGGTTCTGTTCAATACCTACATCAATTATTTAGATAATGGCATAGAGAGTATGCTTATCGAGTTGGGAGGAGTTGCAAGTGCTTTGGAGGATATGATCTGGACAAACTGGAGAAATGGTCTGAAGTAAATAGGATGAAATTCAATAAGGACAAATGCAAAGTACTCCACTTAGGAAGGAACAATCACTTGCACACATACAAAATGGGAAATGACTGCCTAGGAAGGAGTACTGAGGAAAGGGATCTGGGGATCATTGTGGATCACAAGCTAAATATGAGTCAACAGTGTAACACTGTTGCAAAAAAAGCGAACATCATTCTGGGATGTGTTAACGAGAATGTTGTAAGCAAGATACGAGAAGTAATTCTTCCACTCTCCTCCACACTGATAAGGCCTCAACTGGAATATTGTGTCCAGTTTTGGGTGCCACATTTCAGGAAAGATGTGGACAAATCACAGAAAGTCCAGATAAGAGCAACAAAAATGATTAAAAGTCTAGAAAACATGACCTATGAAGGAAGATCGAAAAAAATGGGTTTGTTTAGTCTGGAAAAGAGAAGACTGAGAAGGGGACATGATAACAGTTTTCAAGTACATAAAAGGTTGTTACAAGGAGGAGGGAAAAGAATTGTTCTTCTTAACCTCTGAGGATAGGACAAGAAGCAATGGGCTTAAATTGCAGCAAGGGTGGTTTAGGTTGGACATTAGCAAAAAAATTTCCTGTCAGGGTAGTTAAAGCACTGGAATAAATTGTCCAGGGAGGTTGTGGAATTTCCATCACTGGAGATTTTTAAGAGCAGGTAAGGCAAACACCATCAGGGATGGTCTAGATAATATTTAGTCCTGCCATGAATACAGGGGACTGGAGTAGATGACCTCTTGAGGTCCCTTCCAGTCCTATAATCCTATGATTCCATAAGTCTAGGAGTGTTTCTGTTAGACCAGGGGTATCAAACACACGGCCCGCGGGGTTATTTCCTGTGGCCCACCAAGCTCCCTGCCCCTCCCCCGGAGTTATTTCCTGCAGACCGCCAAGCTCCTCTCCCCCCAGCGCACCATGGCCCCGCTCCTCTGCCTACCTCCAGGCACTTCCTGCCGCCAAACAGCTGTTTGGCAGTGCTTAGCACTTTCCAAGAGGGAGGGGGAGGAGCGGGGAGCCACATGCTCAGGGGAGGAGGCAGAGAAGAGGTGGGGCAGGGGCGGGGATTTGGAGAAGGGGTTGGAATGGGGCAGAGTTGGGGACTTTGGGGAAGGGGTGGGAAGAGGCGGGGCAGGGGCGAGGCCTCATGGAAGGGGTGGAGTGGGGGCAGGCCAGGGGCAGCGGGGCGGGGAGTGTCAGTGATGTAGCCCTTGGGCCAATGTACTAGTCCTCATGTGGCCCTCATGGTGATTTGAGTTTGAGATCCCTGTGCTAGACCTTACCTAGCTCGCCACAGAGCTGTCCCTCTCTGGGGCCTACCTTAGTACTTTATGCATCAGCTGAAGCCAGTTAGTTTTCAAGGAGAAATGGGATCAAGCTGCAAAATTCGGATAAGATTTCAAACACCACAAGATTTGGGGATGTTCATGTCCAAGGTTTTGCCCATTATCAAAAGAGTGCTCATTTGTAAAATCCAGATCTGGGAGCTGGCTCAAATTTTGAAGACCCTCAAAGGGCTGTGGTGTTTGGGTCCAGGCTTTGGTAGTGTTAAGTAGCATTTCCTAATAAAGTGATCTTCTCTTGAAGGGTTTTCCCACTTAACCCAGAGACTTATTTCTTGAAGGGACACTGTCAAGATTAAAATTCTATATTTCTATAGAGTGACTCTGCCTCCGTTTCAGTAACAGGTTTGATTAAATGAAAGAATTTAAGGAGTCAGATTTTCGTTTTTTTTGTTGTTGTTTTTTTTGGACAGTACACTTTGTGAACCTAGCCTGGTCTATTTCTACTTTCACATTCCAGTTCCCAGTTACCGGCACAATGCCGCAATGGTTGGGTTCCTACAAGGTCGGGGAGAAGGTGTAAATCACCACCCAAAATAAATGCATTCCCTGAAACTGAAAAACCCGGGAACCCTTTCCAGTCACATTACCATTTGCAGAATTGTGTAATAAACCCCTAAATATTGCAGCTAACCTACTTTAACAATTTCCCGTGGCGATGGTTAAGCCTCCACCCAGAGGAGCTACACAAGGGCACTTGGCATTCGTGGAACTGCAGCTCCATGCTGTATCACATTAAATGAAAGCTGGAGGACTAGCTATGCCCCTCTTTTAGTGGGGGGCTGCTGAGGGTTTTGTGTAGGCAGGGGCCAGGAGGAGATCACTGCTGAGGGGCTGCATGCTCAGGCCCAGCTCCCACAGTGCTTACTCAAGTAAAACCCCTGCTGAAATCTATGGGAAAGCATGAATCTGGGTGAGGATTACAGGTTCTTTCCAGACTACTATCCCACCTGAGTTTATGAACCCACATGAGTTTGATTCTCCACCACCTTGCTTCTTGTGTGGTCTTTTACGTCCGGACAAAGCAGGGGTCAAATGGTAAGATGATGTTGAAGGGCAGAGCATTCTGACTCAGTAATTTGTCCTCGCTTTGCACAAGAGTAAATAAGAAAATTGGATGCCAAGTGGTGGGGAATCATCCTTGGGTTCTTGGAGCCTATACACCTCTAGTCCCAACCAGACCAATGACATGGGAGTTTACTCTCCACCCAGACCGAATGGTCAACATTGGCTAGGTTTGCAAACCAGCAGACATTTCACCTGAGACACCAAGAATTCAGGTGCCTTCAAATAAAGATCTAAACACAGACAACTAACAGATGTTAATGAATTTATAACTTTGGATGGGAGCATCTCCTGATTGCCATTGGCCATGGGATTCATAGGCCTGCCCTTCCAGCTGCTCAGTTACTATTCCTGCCACAGCCCATGCTAGCTCGCAGAGGGACTATGAGCTCTAAGACTGGCTAAGAATGGCCCTCATGGACACCGTTACTAGGATTGTATCAGTACTGATGTCTCTATCTGCTGTAGGGTCACAAGTGACATTTTAACTGCAGAGACACCGAGGATAGTACAAGGCCAAGCACTTGCCTCTGGTCACACACCAGCTGACAGACGAGCCTGCGATTAACCCTAAGTCAAAGACTTTGTAGCGGAAGCCTTAATTCCATTCCTATGGCAGCTGTCCCTGTATGACCACGTATTGACAGTAATGATAACAGCCCCTCGGCATACAGTTTAATTCCAACAGAATTCCCTCCTGGGATAACATGCATGTTGCTCCTCCATTCCTGTGCACCAACAAATCATCCTCTCTATAATGTTCCTCCTAATCAATCTGAAGGCACCAACGGCCGGGGAGGTAAAAGTCAGCCAGGCTCTCAGTGACCTGGCCTCAAATCTCAGGAATCTGAAGTGCAAAATTAGCAAGAGACCAGTGGCTGGGAACATGCAAACCAGGAGGGGGGCCAAGGATGTGCTGATCAAAGGATTCTCATGATCTTGTCTAGCTGCTCGGATCCCATTGTGCCACTGCAGGTGGGAAAAACGATTGGGGGATGCTGTGGACAGGTCATTAAGCCCTAGGCGATGGTGAAAACTGATACTCTTGGTCTTTGTTTGGCCAGAACCTTTCTTCCACTAAAATAAGCCAGAGTGATGTCTAACAACCTGGAACCAGAGTGCCAGCTACAAGCCAACCCCCAACAAATAAGGAGGGACTGACTGCAAGACAGCCAGGCAAGTGGGAATCACTAAGTTGAAAGGGAAGCTGGGCTTATCTTGTTCAGCCACCTTCATTCCAGACATTGCACATTCAGGGACACCATGTCTGTGTTACAAAAGAACAGCTATAGGCAATGCCTTCAAGACAGAGTGTTTGCCATTGGAAGCTCTTTAGGTTAACGCACTCAGTGTGATCTTTACAGGTCAGCTTTACTTTCCCACCTTCAGCTATCACCGTTCTCCTCTGCAGTTTGCTTATGCTACGCAGAGCAGTACAGCAGGGATGGCTGGACAGAAGATCCTGCATCATCACCAGGGGGTGCAAGGGAGAAAAATGTACCCGTCTGGTCTTACCTCCTTCACATACAGTGCACCCATGTCCATTGGACCATGCCATGTTTTTTTCAGACAAAGGGTGAGACTTTCACAGGGTGTGTTAGAAAACAAGACTGAAGAAAACAAACTTCCTTGGGAATTTTTTTTCCAAAGAGCAGATAATGTGGGGTTGCCCGAAAAGGAGGAAGGGAGATAAAGAGAATGAGAACCTCAGGAGCAAAATGCTCTGCAGGAGGAAATAAAGGATTTGTGTCCTTTTTGCATACAATATTTATAATCATAACAACAACAACAACAATAGCACAGTTGGTCTCAAGGTGGGCACTCCCATCTCATCCACCAGGGAAGAGGGGTTAGGCGAGCTGGCATTATTCTATCTGCCTCCCGCTTCTCCCGTCGAGAATCACTGACCTCCTCTGGGGCTGATAAAAGCAGCTGGTGGAGGTCTCCAGTCTCTGCCCATTTTTGGGGATGGTCATTTTGTTCCGCAGAGTGACCCCCTCAGGCGTTGTCTGCAGGTTCCCAGACAGATCGCCACAAATAGGGTTTGGAGAGTTGCTCTGAGAGGGGCTTCTTATGGGTGATAACAACACTCTGGAGTCTGCTGAGGAAGATGGATGGTCCATGATGGGGAAGGGTGGGCTGAAGAGGATAAGGCTCTGGGGCCTTCCTGGTCTGGATCTGTAGGAAGGCTTGGAAAACCCCGATGGCCTCTCCATTTTTGAGAATTGTGGGTTGTCTCCTGCGGTCTCCCCCTCTGAAGTGCGCTTTCGGCGCAACACGGGCACCTCCTGGGTGGAATTACAACTGGAGAGGGAGAGATCTGGGAGAGGGTTGAGGCTGCCGTGCCTAGAAGATGTTGAATCCATTTGAGTGGGGTCACTGTTTTCTTTCTCCTCTTTGGCTTTCTTCTCTACCCGAGGGCTCTTTGGGGGCTCCAGCTGTCCCCGAGCTGCTCGGGGGGTCTGCCTGCTGCCTGAGTGGGCTTCTGTTTCCTTCCTCCCCAGCGATGCAGGGATGTCAGGGTCGACGTTCTGAGTCTGTAGTGGCTGTGGGACCTGTGTGTACTGGATCTTGGGTGGTATCACTGGCACAGCTCTGGCCTGGCACATCTTAATCATGAAGGAGGTCCTCACCGCTGACACGCTCACAGGGGCAGAGTTACGACGGCCGGTGGCAGCATGGGCCACTGCCATGTAATCCAGGTCTAGCTCCCGGGGATCGAAGCGAGATCCCCAGGGGTCACCTGTGTTCCCGGCAGGGCAGGCAGCAGGCAGTGACAGGACAGAATCACTGCTCTTCCCTTCCTTCTGCACACATAGGAGGTTTCCAGGTGAAGTGGGCACCGCCAGGCTCTCAAACTTGAAGAAATCAGGGGCAGGGAGGAGTGAATCCAAGTTGAGAGATGATGGCCTGGTTCTCACTTTACGGGGAGTGTCTTCACTTTTGTTGTTACTCAGCTGTGACTCACTGGTAGAACACAGCCCTTTGGTGACAGCCATTCCAGTGGGAGCAGCGTCCTGAGGCCTGGGTGGATCTTCATCTATTTTCTTTGCCTGCAAGAAACTGTCTGGGGTATTACAGTGTGGAAAAGGCAACTCAGGTGTCAAGTCCTGAGGGTTTTCTTTGCTGCCATCCACTTCCTTCTCCCCTGGCTCCGAAAGAGAAGCAGCGCGTAGTTCCTCATGCCTGGCTAGCAGACTCCCTGCTGCAGGCTCTGCCTCGCTGCTCAGGGCATCACTTGATCCCTCAGGCTCTAAAGAGTCCTCTCGAGGACTCTGAGAGGTCTCGGCTCGCTCGACGTGGCTCAGCCTGGGTGGTGAGGTTGGCAGTGTTTCTAACAGGTCCTTGGTCCCCAATCTAGTGCAGCCTCGTGGGAGCTCTTCAGCTGCACTTGTGAAAGATGGTTGTATAGCCCACACACTCAGCACCATGTCTTTGCTATCCAGAGAAAGACTGCGACTGAAACGTGGCCGAGCAGAAAGGCCCCTTTCCACTCCGTAGCTCTGTGACTGGAAGTCCTGCATTGCCTTTTCCTGGAGGTTCTTGAAGGTAGGGGAATGGAGAGGGCTGGTGACCCACTGGTGATCCTCCCATGGCTCTACCAGCTCAAAGCCCTGGACATTGTCTGTCCATGCATCCTCCTCTTCATGGTCGAAAGAGTCCTGGGCTTTGCTGGCCATGCCGCCCTCTTTGGGCTTCTCGGCTCCAGCTCCACTTGCCCTCTTTGATGAGATCAGGCCACCTCCTACAGTCACTCTATCAGGTTTCTCCCTCTGGGTCAGAACTCCATCCTGGCCTACAGCAATGCCATCCTTTTCACTATGCAGCAGGCCAGTGTTGCCTTTCTCCTTGGCTTGGTCTGGACGCATCCTTTTGGGATTTGAGACACCTTCTTTTAAAGGACGCTCAATGAGCTGCTGCTCATCATAAAGCTTCTGGTCTTGGTGGGGAGGTGGAAGATCACTGCTGACATTCTCCACCATTAGATGATTCTTTGGAGAAGCTGTCCCAGACAGGACAGTACCCAGTTCGGGTATGTTAGGAGAGCAGTCATGCTGTGCTACCACTTTAGGTTTACCATCCTGGAGGCCGCCAGGCTCCTTCAAACTTTCTTTGGAGGTGACACCAAATAAAGGCAACTGAGATGTGACCTGTGGGGTTCTGGCTGGAGTTTCCTGTTCAGCCAGTGTCAGGGCAAGCACAGAACCAGAAGAGAAGTTGTCCGTTTGTGGTGATGCAGAGGATGCAGAAGCTAGTGCTGAGTGCATTATTTCCTGGTGTGGGCCTGTCTTGGGGACATCTGTAGGCAAGAATGAGAGCTCCTCTTCAGATTCAATAATTTTGAGTTCCTGTTGAATCTCCGGCCACAGAGGTTCCATCAGGGCATTGGCAGCGTCATCTTCAGCCTGAAAAACATCAGAAATGTCATAACCTGACAGCCATCACTCCACGTGCCCATCTGCCTTCTGCCCACAACGCTGCCTGTAGCAGCCCTCCAGGAATACCGTCAGACTAGTGGAAATGCTGGCCACCAGAAATCTGGTTAAATAAAATAATAATACCTTGCTCTTATGTAGCATTTTCATCAGTGGATCTCAAAGTGCTTTACAAAGGAGGTCAATATCACTACCCCCAGTTTACAGAAACTGAGGCATGGGGCAGTGAAGTGACTTGCCCATGGTTACCCAGCAGGCCACTGACAGAGCCAGGGATAGAATCCAGATCTCCTGATTTCCAGTTCAGTGCTCTATCCACTAGGCAACACTGCCTCCTTTGCATTTGCCTGTAAACAAATGGGTTTACCGGGGAGATCATCAGAGGTGGAGCTAGGACTCAGGTCTGGTGGCAAGTGGGCAAAGTGAATTAGCTGAGAAACAATAGCTACAATTCCTCAGACTGCCTCCCAACCTGCCCCATGAAATAGACTCACCTACCCCAGCAGGGGGCGCTACACACCCCATAAAGAAATGTTGCCAAATGCAAGGTCATGCACACTGGAAGGAATCATTGGAACTACTCATACACATTGCTGGACTCCACTAATCTGTAACCACTCAGAGGAAAGATCTGGGGTGACTAAGTGACTCAAATCAAAACTCCGCTCAGCGTGCAGCAGTGGGCCCACAAAATGTTTGGGTGATCAGGAATGGAATTAAAAAATCAGACTGAGAAAATCACAGTCCTGATAAAGAACCTGGCAGAAATAGGGGGAGGAGGGTCAGAGATGGAGGGTCAAAACGATTAGACATATGGAGAAGCTTCCAGAGACAGAACCGACAGCAGGGTATAGTTAACAGAAGAGGGGAGTGAGAGAGGACATGACAGCTGTATACTGAATAGAGTCTAACCCTGCTTAGCCTATATTATATGTCAAGATCACAGCTTGAGGTTGCTCGAATGCAGACACACATGCAGCAGTTCCCCAGTGCCCCGTAGCAGTCCCCAGCAAGATGGGGATACTTCCATCTCCCTCGGGTGCTTTGAGACAACGGATATTCCTTCCTTTCAAGGCTCCCTCCTTACCAGCTCTCTCGGGAACAAGGCCTCCTCTGCTTTAACCCTTGGTGTCGCCTCCTGCCGGCTGCCTCTCTCTGAGGGGTTTTCCTGCGTCCTGAGCTGGCCTTGCTCGATCTCACCTGCCAAGTGCAGGCCTGCCGGGCCCTCGGGTGCTGGTGTCTGTTTCAAGCCAGGGCTCTGCTCTGGGGCTTGTCTTCCACTGGTGCTGCTGCCACTGCCTAGCAGCTCCTGGTTTTCTGTTGTTGGCTTTGAGGTTTCCGAGGACTCAGGCTCCTTGGCTGCCATCAGTTGCTCGGTGGTAGGACCTGGATTAGAAACACGGATCAGCAATATAAACCACTCACGACACAGGGCCTGCAGCTGGCCCAGGGCATTGAGATAAAGGACCTGTGTAGGTTCAACTCATCCTGACTGATAAAACCCAAAATCCTGCACTACACTGCTTAGAGTCCCTGCCGTCATGGACAGGGCACTGCTGTCAGGAAGTTCACGTGGCTTAAGTCCCACATTCCCATGCCCCCGTGGAATGACCTTACTTCTCTACACCCACCCAGCGCTTTTCCCCTGAATGCCCACCCTCCCCCCAAGCCTCCACTGGGACCACTGAGCTTCTCCCTACCCAAGGTGTGCCACTAGGAGCCCCTAGTCTCTCCACTGCCTTGCACTGGATGGAATGGCCTCACTGGACCATGGTCCCTACCAGGGGCAATTCCTCAGCCCTGCTTTAGCCCTGCATAGCTCATTGCGGGGGCTGTGCACTGCTCACCTCTATAAGTTTTACCTGATGCAGACTCAGCCCTGGGCTGCTTCTCCTCCCTGTCTGTGGCCTGCTCAGTCCTGGGCTGGCCATTCGCTTCTGGCTCTGTGGGAGCAGCGCTGCCTGGCCCCAGAGCAGATGATTCCTCCAGGCTGGAGAGGGCAGGCTTGTCCTTGGCAGGCACGCGGCATGGGGTGCTGTTGGTGCTGATGACTGCGGACACCCGAAGGGGCACGGAAACGGCGAAGGGCTCTGAGATGTTCAGGGCTTTCCGCTGGTGCCGGGGGGAGGCTTCCAGAGGGAAGAGGCTGCTGGGGAAGCCTGATTTGGAGGCTGTGTCGGAGGTGTAGAACATGCGGCACGTCTTTGGGGAGGTCTGCTCGCTTTCAGCATCCTCCATGGCCCGGAACACCTTCAACTGCTCTGGGGGTGGCCTCGCCTCGGGGGCCCTGGGGCCAGCTTTATCCCCGCTGAGCTCTGAGCCTCCCTCGGCCCCCACTGGAGCCCCCTCACGGTCCCATTCACTCTCCTTGCTGAGGTCACCTGAGCTGCTTGTGCCTCCTGTCCGCGTTTTCATCACCGGGATGAAAAACCCTCCAGCAGTGACTGTGCGTTTGAACCGGCCTTTCTCATCCTCCCCTGGGGGGAGGAGACAAATGGAGAATTGGCAAAGGGAGCAGTGACAGCGGAAAGCCTTCTTCCATACACCCAGGAGACAGGGCAGGCCCTAGTGAACAGCCCCAGCCCTGCAGAGTCTCCGATACAGGGCAAGGGACAGAACCTACATCCGTCAGGCTCCTCCCCCAGGGACTCTACCCAGAGTTGGCAGCTGTCACAGATAGCTGAAGCTAGACAGGATCCTCTCCACTGGAAACTGTGCAGGATCCTTACTGGCTCTGGGCATCGTCATGTGCCCTTGCCAATCAGCCATGTCTGGGCCTTGCTGGCTGGTTGCAGGTGCCAGGCACTGCCTCGTCCTCTTTCCAGGCAGCCTTCCCACAAATAGGGACCTCGTGCCCACTGGAATAATGCAGAGCTGAATGAAGCCCATTGTACTGGTAACAGATATTCACACAAGCAAATATTTATACATGCCTGGACCCATATGCCACCATACAAGCACACAGACGGGTAGAGCAGTGCATATACACATGTATGGTAATGCATGGACATGTGTAAACATCTGATGGAAGAACATGAGAACATCCAACACAGAGAGAAACGTAACCACAGACACAGGTGGGTGAGCATGCATAGAAACAAAAACACCTGCCAACACCTATGCACACACTCGTGAGAGCTAAGAGCTCACAGGCCCATCCTGCAGCTCAGCAGCCCTAGGTACAGGCTGTCAGGGTCTCACCTTCTACAGGCAGGGAGCACAGCGAGTCCATGCTTTTAGCTGGTCGAATAGTTGCTTTTTCTGTGAAAAAATAAGTTTAGAAACCTACATCAGATCCTGGGACCTGTCAGTTTACAACCAGCTGGAGAGCACAGCATAATTAAAGCCAATACAATGACCGGAGGGTGGGTTAATGCAGTGAAAAGGCATTTAGTGTCCCATTATTAACAAAAAAACAGCCTGATCTCCCTCAGTGCACTGTTTAGTATAGATCTGGGCCCAGAAAGAACCCCAGGCTCCCACACCCCTACATTTTGGGAGAGGTCAGGCCTGGAAATGAGCACTGTAGCTCAGGTCCATGACTGGTTTGGGATGGTAGCGTGTTAAAAGTATTCCTTATCAGAGAGGTAGGATGGTCTTGTGGTTAAAACAGAGACAGCCACAGGCTTCTTGTGTGACCTTGCACTGCATATGCAAATCACATGGGGTGGGTGTGATTGCAGGTGCGCAAGTACACTGTCAGAGACGGGCTGGAGCCACAAAGCTTGGATCAGGATCTGAACTCTCCCAAAGTTCAAGGGGATTTGGCTCCAGGATTTTGATCCAACCTCACCTCTAATTATTATACAGTACCAACCATACAAGTGATACTGCAGTGTTGCCAACTCTAGTGAGTTTAGCGATATTTTTGTGATATTAAGGTTTTTTTCTGTAAAGTCTCAGCTCCTGGATTCATGAGACTATGTGAGACTCAATCCCACCTTTTTTAAAAAAAAAAAAAGAGAAAAAGAAAAAAAAGTAAGTTTCTGGCCCTCATGATTGCAGAGAAAAACTTGAACACATGAACCCTAAAGGCTCCAACACCGGACAGCTAATTAAAAGAACCCAAAATGTATTTTTTTAGGGCTGTCAAGCCATGAAAAAAATTAATCGTGATTAATTGTGCTGTTAAACAATAATAGAATACCATTTATTTAAATAGTTTTGGATGTTTTCTACATTTTCAAATATATTGATTTCAATTACCACACAGAAAACAAAGTGTACAGTGCTCACTTTGTATTTATTTTTGATTACAAATATATGCACTGTAAAAAACAAAAGAAATAGTATTTTTCAATTAACCTAATACCAGTGGTGCAATCTCTTTATCATGAAAGTTAAACTTACAAATGTAGAATTATGTACAAAAAATAACTGCATTCAAAAATAAAACAATGTAAAACTTTAGAGCCTACAAGTCCGTTCAGTCCTACTTCAGCCAATCGCTGAGACAAACAAGTTTGGTTACATTATGCAGGAGATAATGCTGCCTACGTCTTGTTTATAACATCACCTGAAAGTGAGAACAGGCGTTTGCATGGCACTGTTGTAGCAAGCATCGCAAGATATTTACGTGCCAGATGTGCTAAAGATTCATATGTCCCTTCATGCTTCAACCGCCATTCCAGAGGACATGCGTCCATGCTGATGATGGGTTCCGCTCAATAACAATCCAAAGCGGAGTGGACTGACTCATGTTCATTTTCGTCATCTGAGCCAGACGCCACCAGAAGAAGGTTGATTTTCTCTTTTGATGGTTTGGGTTTTGTAGTTTCTGCATCTGAGTGTTGCTCTTTTAAGACTTCGGAAAGCATGCTCCCCACATCGTCCCTCTCAGATTTCGGACCACACTTCAGACTCTTAAACCTTGGGTCGAGTGCTGTAGCTATTTTTAGAAATCTCACATTGGTATCTTCTTTATGTTTTGTCAAATCTGCTGTAAAAGTGTTCTTAAAATGAACATGTGCTGGGTCATCATCCAAGACTGCTATCACATGAAATATATGGCAGAATACAGGTAAAACAGAGCAGGAGACATACAGTTCTCCCCCAAGGAGTTCAGTTGCAAATTTAATTAATGCATTATTTTTTTAATGAGTATCATCAGCATGGAAGCATGTCTTCTGGAATGGTGGCTGAAGCATGAAGGGGCATACGAATGTTTAGCATATCTGGCACATAAATACCTTGCAACGCTGGCTACAAAAGTGCCATGTGAATGCCTGTTCTCACTTTCAGGTGACATTGTAAATAAGAAGTAGGCAGCATTATCTCCCGTAAATATAAACAAAATTGTTTGTCTTAGCGATTGGCTGAACAAGAAGTAGGACTGAGTGGACTTGTAGGCTCTAAAGTTTTACACTGTTTTGTTTTTTTGAATGCAGTTATGTAACAAAAAAAATCTACATTTGTAAGTTACACTTTCATGATAAAAAGACTGCACTACAGTACTTGTATGAGGTGAATCGAAAAACACTTTCTTTTGTCTATAATTTTTACAGTGCAAATATTTGTAATAAAAAATAATAATATAAAGTGAGCACTGTATACTTTGTATTCTGTGTTGTAATAGAAATCAATATATTTGAAAATGTAGAAAAATATCCAAAAATATTTAATACTTTTCATTTGGTATTCAGTGCAGGAGAATCTAGAGTTTGGGATGCTGGCCATTAGGAAAAACATCTTTTCGCCTGTAAACTCTGAAAATGTGATCTTATTTATCCAAATACCACGAGACAATAAACATGGGAACTCATGATGCCAGTTTATACAAAGACACTTTGGGTCTTTAATGCCCTGGAGGCATAGAACAGTCTCTCACTCAGTACCACATAGGGTGTGTTAACCTGGCCATGCGCCATTTCCTATGAGACATAATACTTCCAGGAGTGCAGCTTCCCCTAAATCCACTCTGGGTTAGCCAATCCATCAAATACAACACTTAAGGCCGAAATCCTCCATGGTATTTAGGCTCTTAAGCCTAAAAAGCTTTGCAGAACTGGGGCTTAGTGCTTCCTAGGCCCAGGGTAGGGTCTGGGCAACGAAGCACATTCACCCCAGCATTACAATGGATGTTCTGGGTTAGTGTTCCCTGGTTCTGACTGCTTCTCATTTCCATACTCAAGTGAAAGGCCCATGATGGAAGGAGCCAACTATGTGACTCCTCCCGCCTCCCAACTCTCGAAGCCTAATCTGATTTTCACCCCAGATCTGAATTCTTGCAGCACTAACATCAACAGGCTATCTATTGTACCATTGCCATACCAGAGAGGAGTGATTAGGGGAAGCTGGCTGAGAGAGGAAATTAACTGACAAGCTGGTTCTTACCAGAGAGTTTCTGCCCTCTCACAAACACACTCCCATTTCGACTCAGTTTTGATTTTGAATCTGATCCAGACCGGCCCAGGTTAAATATTGACTTCCATTTCTTGGATTTGGTGGATAATTTTCTCCTGAAAGAGAAAATGTACAGGAGATTAGTGCCAGGTACCTCGGGCTGAACACTAGTCCTGGTGTGCCACAAAAACCTGTCTCCCCCATCCCCCTCAGCCTCTGCTCTTCTTTTAGTGTCTCTCTCTCTCTCTCTCTTTTTAATACTGCGGTTTGCAAGGCAAACATTAGAATAACCTTAAGGCAGAGGTTTTTAAAGAGTCCCAGGGGTTTAGGCCCACAAATCCTAGTGACTTTCAATGGGAGTTGGGTGCCAAGCCCCTTGGGCCCCTTTGAAAAGCTCGGTGTAAAACTGCAGAAGCACCACATCTCATGCATATTCTCCTTTGTATACAGTATTGTGTGGATCTTTGTCTTCATCTCTCTGCCTCAGTCCCTCTGTTCATCTAGCATCAGACTGATCTTCTCTCTTCCCACACTCTCACCAATCTTGGTGGAAGAACCTTCTCTGCAGCTCCTGCTTTCAGACACAGACTCCCTGCATCTCTGCCTTGCCCTCAACAACCCTTCCTATCAGTTTGGTACAGAGAAGAGGATGTTAGAGGTACAGAGTCTCCTCTCATTGTGTTACGGAGGGACCAGGGGTTTAGAGGTAGGCCCGTTCTCCTGAAAGTGTGAGGAAAAGGACACTCGGGGGGAGGGGGGAGGGCAGAGGGCAGGAGGGGTTGAGGTATCCTATTCGGGGAGCGGGCTGCCTCTGTACCTCTTCCCTTTGTTGTGTGGTCCTTTGCTGTTACTATATGAAGTATGTAGATACATCACTGCTAAGGTTCCTTATGGGTCACTAATAAGTCTCCAGCTGTAGAGGTTATTATCTCTGAGCCACGGCAATTCAGCGCCCATATTTTATTTAGATTAGATTAGAATAGATTAGATTAGGATTAGATAGATAATACTCTGTATTTATCTAAATATATATCTACCTGGCAACTGCAGCAAGGTCATCTGATTTCATCTTTTCGGCTATACCTCCACTACTGACAGCGCTGGTTCACAGGGTATGTGTAGATACACATGGCAGTGAAAGGAAGGCTGTGTCCACACCGTGGTATGTAGCTACGCACATCAGTGAAAGGCTCTGACACGGAAGAGGCAATGGGGAAAGGCTCCAGCAGCTCCCCGCTCTCTTCTCCCTTCAGAGTCTTTTCCTGTCTCACCATCTACACTGCTATTTATACCCGTACTAGCGGGGCGTGCAGGGCATGTACTCTACACGCTGCCATGAGGAGTGTGCAGTGTAGATGTACTCTTAGTGATACAGCAGGAGTGATATTTGTCCTAGTGGCTCTTCTCTTTGCATGAAGGGACACAGTGAATCATACAACTAAGCTAGGTTTCAGAGTAGCAGTCGTGTTAGTCTGTATCCGCAAAACAAAAAGGAGTACTTGTGGCACCTTAGAGACTAACCAATTTATTTGAGCATAAGCTTTCGTGAGCTACAGCTCGCTTCATTGGATGCATTCAGTGGAAAATACAGTGGGGAGATTTATATACACAGAGAGCATGAAACAGTGGGTGTTACCATACACACTGTAAGGAGAGCGATCAGGTAAGGTGAGCTATTACCAGCAGGAGAGTCGGGGGCCGGGGAGGGGGATGGAGAAACCTTTTGTAGTGATAATCAAGGTGGGCCATTTCCAGCAGTTGACAAGAACGTCTGAGGAACAGCAGGTGGGCAGGCGGGGGGAATAAATATGGGGAAATAGTTTTACTTTGTGTAATGACCCATCCACTCCCAGTCTTTATTCAAGCCTAAGTTAATTGAATCCAGTTTGCAAATTAATTCCAATTAATGAATTGGAATTAATTTTCAAACTGGATACAATTAACATAGGCTTGAATAAAGACTGGGAGTGGATGGGTCATTACACAAAGTAAAACTATTTCCCCATGTTTATTCCCCCAAACTGGATACAATTAACTTAGGCTTGAATAAAGACTGGGAGTGGATGGGTCATTACACAAAGTAAAATTATTTCCCCATGTTTATTCCCCCCGCCCCCGCTGTTCCTCAGACGTTCTTGTCAACTGCTGGAAGTGGCCCACCTTGATTATCACTACAAAAGGTTTCCCCCCCCTCCCTCCTGCTGGTAATAGCTCACCTTACCTGATCGCTCTCCTTACAGTGTGTATGGTAACACCCACTGTTTCATGTTCTCTGTGTATATAAATCTCCCCACTGTATTTTCCACTGAATGCATCCAATGAAGTGGGCTATAGCTCACGAAAGCTTATGCTCAAATAAATTTGTTAGTCTCTAAGGTGCCACAAGTCCTCCTTTTCTTTTTACAACTAAGCTAGTGGTTTTAAATCCTTTTATCATTTGCGGGCTGCTAAAAAATTTCAAATGGAGCTGTGGAACCTGTTGGAAATCTTAGTCCGCAGACCACAGGTTGAAAACTACTGAACTAGGCAGATGGACACCTCATGCTGCAGTTCGAACCAGCCACCAGCAGGAGGAGCTCTTACAACAAATGATTTCAAGATCTGTTTCATATTCAATCAGGTTGGGCAGATTCAGGGAAGTCAAGGCAGCTGCCTTACAGGATGGGCCTGCCTGGTTCTGTGCTGAGGAATGGTGGACGTATGAGAACACAGAGACCTAGAGAAGTTGTATAATCACATTTTCAATGCTTGCAAAGAGACAGACTGATTTCTTCTCCTTGGAGATGGGAGCACAGTAACCCCGATGGTGTTGGTATGTTCATCGATGGGTGGAGTAGGGGATCACAATGTAGGGAGTGGGCGTGCAGCAGGAGGGGGAGCATTCTGTCTTTCACATAACATTTCAAATGGCTAAAGTGGGACACAGCTGGTCACCACCATCCCCAGCTGCAGGCACCGTCACCAGAGCTTCACTTACTGAGCGTGCGCCACACTCAGTCCCTGTCTTCCCGCCCAGCCCACTCAGAAGCAATACCATTCCCCATCCCTGTGCTCCCCTGCAGCCACTGAGCACGCCCAAAGGGGCTGAGCATGCCCTGGAGCAGCTGAAGGCACTGACTTCGCTAGCTCTGGCCCAGCCAATGGTGTGTACAGCTGCGGGCGCCACCGAATGCGGGAAATGTTCCACTTCAGTCAGCACAGGAGGTTTTTGGGAATCAAAGCGGGACAGTCCCGCCAAACTCATGACCGTGGGGAGGTATGCTTTCATCGGTTTGTATTTCAGCTTTCTCTGGGCACATACTTGCTGTCGGGTAGGTCAACGACAGTGTGGAAGAGGGATCCGGTGACTGGGACAATTTCAGGCAAGCTGTTCTCTCTCCTCTCTTTCCGGGCAGGGTGGGAGGCTGACAGACTCCGTGCCTGAGCTTCTTCCAGACTCACCAGTTTCATAGGCAGGGAGGCAGAGGGCAGGGTCAGACTCTTCACAATAGGCATATTCTCTGAAAAGGAAAAAAGAACATTCAAGCCCTGAAGGGAGGACCTAAGAAGGGTTCTCATATGTTTCCTCCACAGGATCACCTCTTGCAGGGGGAAAATCACTTGCTTAGAGATGCGCCTGTCCAATGTGTCCTCTGTCTCCACAGCAATCTTCTTCATCAGACTGCAGTGCCTCCCAACAAGGCTCTGCTCACTAGCCACACTCTGTATTGTGCTCTACTGGCTGCTGCTGAAGCCTGAGTATGAAAGATGTGTGTCCCTCCAAAACACCTGGATCTCAATTCTCCTGAACTTTGGGGAAGTTCAGATCCAGATCCCAACTTTGTGGCTGGCCCTTGTCTCTACTCTGTAGTCTTTCTCCCTGTTTGTTTAGGGGGGTTGTTTTGAACAGTGACATTACTTTTTCCTTCATAATTAATTTTAGTTCTGGCAAAAGGACAATCAGGGAGAGTGAAGGCCCCTGTTTGTGTGGGCAATAGCAAGACTAGCTTCCCACACACTGCCTCACCAATGGGCCAGCCTCCTCTCAGAGTGGGAGGGGAGTTCAGCCTCTACAGTCTAATCAATTTTGGCCTTTCTGCTGAACAAGGGAATCAATGAGGGCCAGTGCTGGTGGCTTCTGTGATATGGGAACTTCCCCACTAAGAACTGGACTAAGACCGTCCATGTATTCCTCACAGGACTCCACACAGCTGTTAGCAGGCAACAACGTTCAGTCACTACCAAAACAGGCCAGATTTGAACTGGTGACCTGGAGATCAAAGGCTCTGCAACGCATCACCAACCCTTTATGTTGGTGAGTCACTACTCCATCATGACATTTGTGCCAATTTGAACTAATCCTAGGGCAGAATTATTCATCCTGCGGCCTCTAACCTCTGCCATGGGAGAACAGAAGGCCATAGGCATTGCATTAGCACTGGAAGAACAGGGGTGTCTGCAGGTCAGGGCTGGAGCTCTGAGCGGGTGATTTCCAGCAGAGGACTTTAAGGGTAGTGACAGAGCTGGGTGTGGGGAGGTTGCATAGCCACTGCCTACACTGTGTCTTTAGGCAACATGGTAAGTCCCTCACTTCCTTAAGTGCTAAAAATTCCCCTAAAGCTCACATAAAAGCTGAAAAGAATTACAAACTTATAGGGGTGCACATTTTTGAGGTTATGTGAGGCTAATCAGGACCAAGAGCCCCCGTTAAAAGCACTTTCTCTACAAGCCTGTATCTGAGTAACAAGAACAGTATTTCCCAATTCTGCTGAAGTCCAGGACAAATTCTCAGTTTATGAAATAATGCCCCCAGTTATAAAGCAGCAAATCCTTAGACATATGATCCGAATGCCATGCAAAGCACACACTGTAGTTTTGGACATGTTTTTTTGATGGCAGGAAGGGCTGGGATTAGACATGACAAGCAAAGGGAGGAGAAGGCTGTCGACAGAGATGGGGACAAGGGTGTGAAGAGCTATGATTGGAGAAGGCCTGACATTGCAAGGAGAAGATTTTAGGCTGGGCTCAGGCTGTTGGTGGAAAGGTTTAGGGTTCTAGGCATTGGTGAGAAGAGCTAAGTGGGGTGGCTAAGGTTAGGATGGATTGGAATATCAAGGGTAGATCCGTGAGCGTCGATGGGAAAGGTTAATGTTGGGATTGGGAGTACTGTCACGCTGGTGAGGAGGGAGTTGATGAAAAGTGTCACGATTAGTCGGGTCAGGCATTGGTGAGAAGGTTTAGGGTGGGTTTGCATTTTGGTAGGGACTATCGGGGATGTTGAAGAGAAGGATCTGAGGTGTTGGTGAGAAGTGTTACAGTCAGTGAGGGGCTAGGGTACTAGTGAGAAGGTTTGGGAGCATCTATGAGAAAGGACGGGGTTGAAATTGGGGTGTTGGTGGGAGGGGATGGGGCTAGGGTTAGAGCGGCCAGCAGTTAGCGTATGTGGCAGGGGAGGTAGTTACCATCATTCTCCATGGAGCTGGTTGTTATATTGTTGCTGAAGATTTGATCCACATGATTCAAGATAAACTCAATCACCAACTGTTGGACTCGCACCTCCAGAAAAGCTGCATCTCCGTTGCAGCCAACAGCCTCGATCTCCTTCGACCTGTACCACAGGGGGAGCAGCCATAAATACAATAAAACCCCTGCATCCTAAGATACAGTATGTGAGGGAGAGAATTGCTTTGACCTTCCCCAGTAGGTCATGGGTGGAACCTTTCCCTGATACAGCAGGAATGTTCTGGAATAGGAATTTTTTACCCACTGTTGCTCTGAGTCTTGTTCTTTTTACTCTTCCAGTCCTTTATTCTCTCTTTAACTTTCCATTCTTTCTTTATTCTTTCCCCATTTCCTTTCTCATCTCTCCTTTTTCCTTTTGTGTTCTTTCTCCATTTCCTCTCCCCTTTGCATTTTAACTAATTTTATTCATCAGAAGTTTTCTTTTTCCTATTTCCACCATTCTATTTTTCCTTTCCCACCTTCTCTCGGTCCTCTTACTCTATTCCTTTTAGAGACTAAACCGAACACTGGGCCCAGCACCCCCTCAGACTTTGGCTCCAGCTCCAAACTTTGTGGTTTGAGCTTATCTCTGTAAGGTGGATTTGAAGCCAAACCACCAGAACTGAACCCAATCAAATGTGAGGGAAGAGCAGATTTGAATTCCATGTCTTGGGTTCTTCTTTTTCCTGCTATTTTTTATGACTGTCTTTTATGACCTTAATATCTATGAGTCTATGAGTCCCTGTCCCTTCCTTCACTCCACCCAGCACTCTTGCATTCTCACTCTCTCAGCAGAAAAACCTTCCTTATCTTGACATGCCAAAGTGTTACTGAAGAAATTATCTCTGGGCAATGGATCCTTTGTAAAGTTAATGAGTGGTTTGTTAGATAACGGTTTGGGGCATTGCCAACGGGATAACCATGTAAGGAGACTGCAGTTGCATTGCCTGCCGCTTTCTTGTCCTCCCTGGGACTTGCATTACAAAGGAAACAGACTTCAGGTCATTTGACAAGAAGGACAGAAGCTGGAATGGAAATGTCTGAGTAGTAAACATCCACTTTGCAATGTTCAATAGTTTCAACATTTGATCCAATCACAGGATTGGCTCTCAGCATTGATTTTCACGCATGGTAAATTACGAAAAACTGCTTGGTGATCTTGTGATACCAGCGAACGTCCACTAGCAACTATCTTAAGATCTTCAAACTCATTTCATTTGTGACCAAAATGGATTTGGATTCAAGTCATCTATAACATGTAGCACTATCTCCCCTTCCCGAGTCACTCATTGCTCTGTCCTATCAAACTCAATCACCCATATTTTGAAAACAGTTGCTTCAATCCCATAATGATGAGCAAACGCCTCATTTTTAAATGGACACTGTCAAAAAGAATATAGTTTTTAGAAATCCATAGATTTCCTTCCCTGGATATTATTAGTAAAACCTCAGGTTATTCAACTTGGGAGAATTTTTTAAATGATATTTACTTTGCACTATTATTTATGCTGTTTATTTCTTTGCATTTTTCTCAGCGGGCTCGGTCTGTGACTAACTGGTCAGTCTCTGTTTACTGTCTGGTCAGTTTCACTCTTAGATGATCCAGCAGTAGCTCAGCAGCGCTCCCCTAAGAGTGAAGTGAAAAGAAGTCCTTACTGTACCTGAGGAGATTAGGTGCCCACACTAGGGCCAGGTTCCTGGTGTGCATGTTGGTCATGTTGCTGAAGGAGGCCAGGTGAGTCAGATGCTTGATCAGGTATTCCAGAGTCCTGCAAGCATTTGGTTTGGATAAAGAAAAAGTCTTCAGCTCCTGCACATGTGATCAAGTCTCCCATTAGTTGCTAGCCCGCGAGATTACAGCAGTCTGCCATATAAGATCTGCTAACAGAATGCTCCTTTAGCTCAAGAGGTAGAGGCCTGTGTTTTGGTGCTGATAGTACTGGTTTCAGTCTCCCGCAGTGACTGTGGGGTCTGTATATATGAGACTGGCAAAATGGGCACCATGGCTCAAAGCCAGAGCAGTGATTTGTGATGTCAGAGTTTATGAGCAGTGGTGCAGAACACTGTGGATGTTGTTATTGCAGATGGCTTCATGTGGCACAACCCAAATGAATTTGAGGAGGAAGGTCAGTAGGAAGCAGAAAGAAGGGGGCTACTGATGCATATGGTGGCTGTGGAAATTCAGATCACATTGTATGCTTAAATACACGTGCTTAATTGCCTTCTCCCACTTGGACAGCACTGAGCAACTGGCCAAGTACGTTATGGCAGCTGGGAGGGAGAGCCGGGTTGACGGAAGCTAGAAAGGGCTGGTTGCTCTTTCAGACACATAATGCAATGATCTGTTTAATTTTATTTAGAGGACAGGTGAATTGCTCTTGAATTTGGTGGCAATGAATGAACCCACCTCTCCGCTCCTCCCCGAAGCTGAAGCTGTTTCAGAGAATCCTTCCCACAGCTAAGAGACACCGTATGGATCCCCACAGCCTCAACGGCTGAGTTCTTACCTGTAATGTGATGGTGGAAGTTCCTGGATGACATTTTGAATTCGGGCCAATTGCTCCTCCTCTGGGCAGCGAGATATTGCCTCCTGTGGAGAGAAAGGAAATAGTCCATTGAGGTGATGGATTTAGAGGAAGTGAGGAAGTGACAGAGAGAGACGCGTACAGAGGCCTGGCAGGTGTCAGAGGGAGCACTGTCTCATTACATTACAGAGCTATGAGTAGGAAGTCCTGCCACTGACTTTCTGTGAGACCTTGGGCAAGTCACTTCACCTCCCTGTAAGGATAACCATACTTACCCACCTCGCTGCGGGGCATAGAGCCCTAGTCTCCTTCAGTTCACAGCTGAAAGTCTGGGCCTTAATTCATTAAACACTTTCAGATCTTCAGCTGCGAGATGTATTTCCTTTTTCTTCTTTTTGACTCCTGCCTTCTCCCTCCCCTCCTTCCTCCCACTCATTTTTGAAAATTGATTCCCCCCCCCCGACACACACACACACACAATGACTGGGAGAAAAATGGAAAGAAAAAAAACAAAAAATACGGAGAGCGGGTGGAGGAAGAGAGGGAAAATAAATGAAAGGAAAAGAGGAGGAAATGATAAATAACAAATGAAAAATATTGAAACTTTTTCCAAAAAAAGTTTGAGAACAAATAAAAAATGGGTCCTTTTTAAACCCTGTGAAATGAAAACAGCTTGGGACTTGTGGGCATGAAAGGCAAAGTAATTTATAAATAAAAACAAGCATTATTATCTACTGTATGTAGATACAGCAGCTCCTGTGATGATGAGGTATTTTAGATGAGCTACAATGACAGGTGCCTAGAAATACAATTGCATAGACAGAATAACAAACATCTGCATTAGCCATTAGAGTGGAATAGCGTAGATAAAATGGAGGTGAGGCACCTCCCCACCACCACTAGCCCGGCAGTTCTCTGCAAAGCAGGAGCTGAGAGGAGATTTAAGAACGTATTGTCTGAATTCCTGAGAGTTCTTCTCTGCATTGTTAGTCTTCTGTCAGCTATTCCCTTTCAACATTACAATGGGAGAGGAGAAGCCACTAGGAACTTCAAACAATGTGAGGCTATCTAGGATCCACCTGCCCACTCTGCTACTGCTGGGGGTTGGAGTGAGTTCAAAGAAAGACACGGTGACCGCTCCTGCTAACTGGAGTTTTGCCTACATAAGGACGTCAGCAAATCTAGAACTGAGATGAAGAAAACAAGCCTTTCCTAACCATCAGTTGCTTAAATATAATTAATTTGAAATCACCAACCACAACCAAAGAAACCCCTTCCTGTGTTTTCACTGTCACTACTACATTCCCATTATTTATTCTGCTGTCACTATTCTCGTCACTATTCTTTTCACTATCAGCCATCCTTTATGCAAAACCACATGTAAATTGCCATAATCAGTTTCGCTACCAGAGATGGGCATGAACTGCATGCCGGGATCCAAGCAGCCCCCACTTTGGGAACCCAGATTTGAATTCTGTGCCTTGAACCTATTTCTGATCTTTGTTGTCAGCCCACAACCACAGGTGCATAGACACCACCACCATCACAATTACCACACCAAGCAACAGAAGCATCAACAATGTCATCAGTCAATACCTTCACCATTGTTACCAATGATCTCACCAATAAGAGCATAGCCAGGATCACCAACACAAGTCCTTTAATGTCACTGACATGGTACACGTGTGCTGTCAAACTTATATACCATTAATCAGGCATCGATTGAGGAGAGGGCTTTGCAGCAATAATGAATATATAGAGAGAGATCAGGTGTTCATATACCACCAGCCTGCCTCCAATGTCAAAACAGTTGATGGGGAGAGAGAGACGGACACCTTATTTGGATTAAATGAGCTCTAACCTTAATCTTCATTCAAAGCAGGAACTGAGCCTTTTCTGAGGTTCAAAGAAGTTAGTGGGGTGAAAGTTAACCTGTCATTTTTTTTTTTATCTCCACAAGCCTCAGCTCCAGAGATAGTCCCAGATAAAAAGACAGCTCTGATACCTCTGAACTTGGGAAATCCAAATCTGAGCTTTGTGTCTGACCCCATCTCTGCTATGGGCTGAACTGAAAACCCAGAGATGAAAACTCCTGAATTGGGGGAAGTTCCACTCCAGATTTAAATCTTACAACTCAGACCCATCTCAGCTGATTATTTTTGTTTCAATCCACCAGTGGAAGTACTGACCTATAAAAAAGCCTGTTTCCACCATTCGAGAGAGAAGAAGCACAATAAATCCTACGCTTCTCATGTGAGATTTCCAGGCCATTGGTTCTGACCAAAGATGGATCAGGAGAAGCATCCAAACATTTGGGTGCAAATCTGAAACATTAGACATCAGCTGGGTTTTGGCTCACACATTTCATTTCTAGGTTCTAGGAAAGGAAGCTGAAACAGACAGCAAGCAAATGCTGATTCATGTGATGTCATGACTGACTCAGACCCAACAGCCATACTTCTCAGCCAACTGACCTAGAAACCCATGGCATGGCTTACAAAACCATGGGGCACCATCTTCAACATGTGGAATTATAGATTCGGAGCATCAAGAAGGAGAGGACACAGAATCCCAGGAAAAGCCAACTGCTTTTATTTAATGTATTTTTTTCAAATGTAGCATTAATTGCTGATTGTTTCACCTTTCACCTTGTGAATGGGAAGAAAAAATTGGAAAGAGACAGGGAGTTTCAGATACACAGTCAAGGACAGACATGATCTCTTACCCTTCTACTACACTGACCACACTGGGTGTGCTCAGCTGGTACCCTGTTCCTCCTAACCTCTGGCTAGCAAGTGGAGTAAAACTGAGAGAAGAAGAAGGTGTGTGGCCTTCTGTTTTTGAATTGGTTCGATGGAGCAATCAGTCCCTTTACACTAGTGTTAGAATGAGTCTGTCAGTGCCAGAGTCACCAACTCGATCAGAACCGGATTATGAGCTGGTGAAGGCCCAGAGCAAGAGGGAGTGTCACACTGCAAAGGTAAATATGCAGCAATGCCATGGCAGGGTCATCGCATTTATAAATGTGATACCACTGAAGCCGAAAGGCTAATCCCTCTCTGGTCATTAAGAATTTTCCTATCCTGAGACACTAATGTCTGAATTACTGTGGTGACTCAAAGCTGTGCCTAGCCTTCCTCAGACACAGTGTTGAGTGAGGCAGACAGGGTGGGATTACCAGGCATCTCTGCCTCCCACCCACACCCTGCTGTCTAGGCACTGGGGCACCCATCCTACATTCAACCAGACTCCCCATCTGGTGGTTTTCGCTAGACTTTGGGGAATAGTTTCTTTTTTGGGGGCTTCTGTTAGTATTTCTAGTCAAATGAGTTACCCACTGTAAGTAGAAATACCTATAGTTAAGGCTGCCCAACAGTTCCCATTATAAGACCCTGAAGCCAACATTTTTCAAAATGTTCAGCGAATCAAAATCTTGAAAAAAAATTGCTTCGGGTCAAAAAAAAGATATTTCATTTGACCCGAAACAAAATGTTTCATTTTGATTTTGAGTGTTTTTTCACATTTTAATTTAAAAAAAAAATGTGAAGGAAATTTCCAAACAAAAAGTCATTTAGAGCTGAAAAAATGAAACATTTCCTTTAAAAAATGTCATAATGAAACATTTTCACATTTTTGGATTTTTTAAAATTATTTTACCTACACAATTTGGCAAAATCAACACAAATTCACAAAACGTTCCAGTGTCATCCAATCTTGCATTTTTTGCCGAAAAAGGTTTTGGCTGAACAATTTCACACAGCTGTAATAAGAACCTGTTTTCAGTTGCTTTTAACTTTGCCAAATCTTAATCATCCCAGTTCTCTATCCCCTCTACTCCTTATCCCAGTCTCCTCCCACACTACCCCCCCAGACCCGGCTCCTCACCCCTTTGCATATCCTATCAGCCTTTTCTTCCTTCTTGTCCTCCTGCCTGGGCCCAGCAGTGAAAGCACAAGAGAGACCATCTTCCTGCTCTCAGTTCCTATGTCGGGCATGATAGTTGTCCCTGGGCAGCCAAGAGAAGTAACTGCAGGGAAAGTCCTGTTCAGCCCCTGCAGCCCTTAGTTAGAGCATGCTCAATACAGATGGAATCTTTGGAGAATTTAGCTGCCAAACTCTAACAAGTCTCTAGTGAGCAAGTGCAAACTGAGATTGTTCAAAGACTTAAAACTTGGCCAACCTGGGCATATTTTCAAGGGAAAAACAAAAGGCTATTCTGTTCTACATACATTCATATACCATGCTCATCACTATAATATCTAACATTCCTGACACCAGAGTGATCCCCCTGCCAAATTTCTAGTCTCTGCTTCAAAGTTAAGGGGAGACACCAGAGCTTCTCAACAAAACAGTTCTAAGAATTTTTGAACATGGGCAATACAATGTACTTTTCCCTAATATCGTTCTGAGAAATGAATGAACTGTTTTATCTGAAACTTTCCAAAAACATTCAATATGAGTCAGCCAGCCAGCGTGGAAAATTTCAGCCCAAATGATTAAAGATTGGCAAAGTTATAACCAAATGAATGCAGGGTTTTATAGTGGAAAGCATCAGGCAACCTTAACTACAGGTGTTACTATCTGCAGTGCCAATAATAAAATATTATCTGTCATCAAATTGTCCAGTTCTTTTAGAAATCCAGCTATGGTCACCAGCACAGACTTAGGGAGGCTCAGCAGCAAGGGTCATTGTCTATTTTTCTGCCCCCAGCAGTCTGCTCCCAGACTCCTACTTGTATCCACACATAATCTGTATTCGCTTTGCAGAATGGAGTTATTACACTTTGAATTACAGTTACTTTAAATGAGGTTACAGATTTCTGCTTGAACAGTTTCCACCTTCACCTGCTCTTTGTATCCAGGACATGATCATTATGGCCTGATTTTCCATTGCCCTCTACTTTGTGTCATAATTTACATCAATGAAAACTGAGTGCACACTAGCACATCTGCAAGATGTAGTATTTTACACCCACTGTGCACTCACTGTGAACAGGTGTAAATGACTGCACAGTGCATCAGACAATCAGGCCCTGTGAATTCACATGTTATAAAAATTACAAGCAAAGGACAGCAATGGGGGAAAGAATCAGAATTAGGGAGGAAGGGAGGGAGGGCCAGAGGAAGGAAGGAAGGAAGGAAAGGTTCAATGAGACAAAGAGAAAAAAAAAAGGGGGGGGGGGAAGCGAGTAAGAGAAAGAATGAGAAAAAAACAGAATGAGAGAGGGAGATATGGAAGAGAAGGAGACAGTGTAACACAAAGATAGAGGGATGGAAATAGCGAAGAGAATGAGGGAAACAATGAAGGGACAGAGAGAAACAAAGTGAGAAAGAGCGAGACAGCAACAGACAAAATGAAAAGATAGCAGGAGTGTGCATGAGCACTGATGGATGATCCCCCTACACACACACACACACACACAAACCCCTGACACGGGGTCATCAGAGTGAGACTAAAACACAACCAACTACCTTTACCAAAACACATGTGCATGCCGGGCTGTGAAAAAGAATAAAAGGCTCACCGTAAATTTCTTGTAGAGCTCATAAGTGAGGAGCGGGTTTGGCAGCTCCCTGAAATACAGCTTGCAGAGTGACCCCACACAGTGAATGTCCTGAAGGTAAACTTCCCTTGTCAGGTCTGGACATTGATCAGAGCCAAACTCCTGCCTGAAACAACACAGAAAGAGACATAACAGCCTGGAAGAACAGGAGCTGGAAACAGTCCATGCCTAGTTGTCTGTCACAGGCAGAGGGGAAAGAGAAATATGTTATAGGCTGGAAAGCAGAGATCTGCCTCTTTTACCTGCAACCTGGACCAGATCTTCTCCTGAAGCTCAGGCTCCAGGTTCATTCTTCTCTGGTTTTCCTCACACAGCTCCACTGATGGGTCCTAAAACTGACATACAGCGACTACCCTCTCCTGAGGTTGGATACTCCTGGACTGCCCCTGAGGTTGGTTACTCCTAGGCTGCCCACAAAGTACTCCGTTAGTGGACCCAGAGTGGGGTGCTTTTGGGGGGACAAAAGTTAGTCTCCATAAAGTAGTGTGTTTGGTCTTTACCAGTGTTAGGAACTAAGGTTCTCTCTAAATCTGGTCTCCTCTTTAACGGGGCTGGGCCCTGCTGCCCTCATTACACCACCTTGGGACAACATTCAACAAGTCTATGCCTGGACTAGCCCCAAACAATGGTACTGAGCAATGCCACTGAACCCCCCTTTGCAGTCAGACCCCTGCCCTTACCTCAGCTTCTGTATGTTGGATGTCACTCCAGAGAGCCGGTAGATTCCATCCACAATGCCATGGGTCTCAATGAACTCGGCACAGCTCCTCAGCACGTAAGGGACTAATAAAGGAAAGGAAGATGAGGTCAGCAGTGACTAGGCAGAGAGAAGATCTTTCATGAGGGTCCTCAGAGGAGAGAGTCCCATTAAACGGTGGCAGAGCCTCTCTGCAGTGACCAGGAAAGGATATTGTAATTGGTGAGATCAAGAATAGCAAAATAAAATCATTGAGGTGGCCACAAATTGATTTACAGAGCTAGACAGCAAGTCGCATGACAGTTCTGCAGCAGCCATGGTCATCATCTGTTCTGACAATAACGGCCTCTAATCACACGGCTGCTCTAGCCATACCGTGAAATGCAAGAAAAAGGCTTTTTCCAGAGGGGAAAGTGATTCAATCGTAACTGGGAGCATGAAGAAGTGGGAATCCTCCAAGCAAGCTGTTCTCAAGAGGTCTCCAGCTTAGCTGTGTTGTGCCAACTGGTCTGATTAGTTTGCTTAAAAATCAGAGAAGCATCTACTCTTGTGTGTGAGCCTAGTGCCCAGTGACTAGGGTTTAGAAATACCTAGAGAGATTAGATTAGATGGAAATATAGGCCAGATCCTCAAATTGACATAGCTCCTTGGGCTTCAAAAGAGCTCCACCAATTTATACCAGCTAAGGATTTAGAAAAGAGCCCAAACTACAAAATTCATATCCAGATCTGGAGTTCAGGTGTGTTTCAATCTGAGGTTTTGCTTTCTCCCATTACACAAGTATTTGAGCCAGTCATCCTTTTGGTTCAGATCCATCCCCTGCAGTCCCCAGTGCACTCAGCTGGCAGAGTCCTTCCCTATTAAATGCAAATCACTACACTAATGCAGTATGAAGGCTGTACAGTTATAATCCCAAGACAGTCAGGAAATGCAGACGTTAAGGTTCCTCACAGCAGCATTAACTCGGCCACATTGTGTGTCCCATATGCTCTGTAGGACAAACAGTAATAGATTAAGCTGTACATTTAACCAGAAAACCAGGCCTAGCCAGTGCCGTGAAGCGAGGCTACTGGCTGAACCTTTCCTGGGTTCTAGTGGTTATAATATGCAGCAGTAAGGTCATATCAGCAGGGATTTTGATATTTAGGACCCAGATCCAGCAGACCAAGGAGGGTCTGAATATAGCACAACTGGTGCGGTCCCACTGCACAACGGAGAAGGCATGCGGGAGCCATCCCAGGGGGGCTGTACCTCTTACGTACCATGCAGCACAGCACCACTGGGGCCATAACATGGAGCAGTGCATTGGGGAGGGATGGGAAGGGGTTGTTGGATCCATTTCCTACACCAACCCACCAGTGCTGTTTTTTCTTGTCCTGGCCATTAAGGGAGAGGTTTTTGTTTTTTTCCTGGAGGATTTTGCTACTTAATGTAGCATGACACTTACATGTCCCCTCATGCCCACTCTCTCCCAGCAGTAGGATCCTGCTCAGGTCAGGCAGGGAGAATGTGTGGAGAGGTCACAAGAGGAGTAGTCATCTTTGCACTCCACTAAAAGTCTTAGCAGATGCCATGAGGTCAGTCAGAAGTGATTTTTCAACCTTTTATAACATTTTCATGCCTGCCCCTGCAAGCCAAGCCAAGGCACCAGTCCTTAGTGAGGTCTGCCCATGCCAAGGATCAGGTTTCAAACTTCAGCCACCGTCACTGTACTCCCATTCAGAACACAATGGGCCAGATATATCAGGGACAATTTGTTGTTTCAGAAAGTGGAGGCGGTAACCAAGGAGACAGCCATTTTAGACTTGATTCTGACCAACAAGGAGGAGTTGGTAGAGAATTTGAAGATGGAAGGCAATTTAAGTGAAAGTGATCATGAAAGGATTGATTTCATGATTCTAAGGAAAGAAAGGAGTGACAACAGCAGAATAAGGACAATGGACTTCAAAAAAGCAGACTGTAACAGACCCAGAGAACTGGTAGGCACAGTCCCATGGGAAGAAAATCTGAGGGAAAAAGGAGTTCAAAGAGAGCTGGCAGTTTCTCAAAGAGTCAATATTAAAGGTGCAACAGCAAACTATCCCAGTGCAAAGGAAAGATAGAAAGAATAGTGAGAAGCCAGTGTTGCTCCCTCAGGAGCTCTTTAATGACCTGAAAATCAAAAAGGAATCCTATAAGGAATGGAAACATGAACAAATTGCTAAGGGTAAGAACAAAAGAATAGCTCAAGCATGAAGGGACAACATCAGAAAGGCTAAGGCACAAAATGAGTTATACATAACAAGGGACATAAAAGGCAATAAGAACTGGTTCTTTAAATAATTTAGGAGCAAGAAAAGATGAAGGAAAGTGCAGGTACTCTCCTTAGCGGGGAAGCAGAGCTAATAACTGATGATATCAAGAAGGATGAGGTATTTCATGCCTATTTTACTTCAATTTTCACTAAAAAGGTTAATGGTGACCACATACTCAGCATAATTAATATTAACAACCACCAGGAAGGAATGCAATCAAAACAGGAAAAGAACAGGTTAAACAACATTTAGATAATTTAGGTGTATTAAATTCAGCAGGGCCTGATGAAATGCACCCTAAGGTACTGAAGGAACTAGCTGAAACAATCTCACAATCATTAATGATTATATCTGAGAAATGGAGAACAGGTGAGGTCCCACAAGACTGGAGAATGGGAAACATAGTACCCGTCTTTAAAAAGAGAAAAAAAGAAAAATTGGGGAATTATGGACCAATCAACCTAACCTCGATACTTGGAAAGATACTGGAACAAACTCCTAGAGGACAATAGTGTTATAAGTAGTAGCCAACATGGATTTATCAAGAACAAATCATAGCAAACCAACCTTCTTTGTCAGGGTTATTGTCCTACTGGATGGGGAAGCTGTAGATGTGATATCTCTTGATTTTAGTAAGGCTTTTGACACTGTCTAACATAACATTCTCATAAGCAAACTAGGGAAATGTGGTCTAAATGAAACTACTATAAAATGGATACAAAACGGTTTTAAATACCATACTCAAAGAGTAGTTATCAATGGTTCGCTGTCAAAGTTGGGGAATATATCTACTGAGGTACTGCAGGAGTCTGTTCTGGATCTGGTACTATTCAATATTTTCATTAATGACTTGCTTAATGGACTGGAAAGTATGCTTATAAAATTCACAAATGACACCAAGGTAGATGGGGTTTCAAGCACCTTGGAGGACATGATTAGAATTCAAAATGACCTTGACAAATTGGAGAATTGGTCTGAAATCAACAAGATGAAATTCAATAAAGATAAGTGCAAAATACTACACACTCAGGAAGAAAAAAATCATATGCACAGCTACAAAATGGGGAATAACTGGTTAGGCAGTAGTACTGTTGAAAAGAAGTTATAGTGGATCACAAACTGAATACGAGTCAACAACATGAGGCAGTTGCTAAAAATGTTAATATAATTCTGGGGTGTATTAACAGGAGTGTCATACATAAAACATGGGAGGTAATTGTCCCCAGTCTACTTGGCCTGGTGAGGCCTCAGCTGAAGCACTGTGTCCAGTTCTGGGTGCCACACGTTAGGAAAGATGTTTAGAAATTGGAGGGAATCCAGAAAAGAGCAATAAAAATGATACAAGGTTTAGAAAACCTGAACCGATGAGGAAAGGTTAATAAAACTGGGCATATTTAGTCTTGAGAAAAGAAGGCGGAGGAAGGGCCTGATAACAGTCTTCAAATATGTTGAGGGCTGTTATAGAGAGGATGGTGATCAATTGTTCTCCATGTCCACCGAAGGTAGAACAAGAAGTAATAGGCTTACTCTGCGGCAAGTGAGATTTAGGTCACATATTAGGAAAAACTTTCTAACTATGAGGGTAGTTAAGCACTGGAATAGGTTTCCCAGAGAGGTTGTGGAATCCCCGTCACTGGAGGTTTTTCAGAATAGGTTGGACAAACACCTGTCAGGGATGGTCCAGGTTTACATGGTCCTTCCTCAGTGCAGGGGGCTGGACTAAATGAGCTCTTGAGGTCCCTTCTAGCCCTACATTTCTACGATTTGGTGCTCCCGGCTAAGTGGCTCTCTGAGGTTTAATCAGCAGAACGGAATCTTCGTGTGGTGTTGAGCCAGCTTTATGCCATCTCTGTTACTGACAACCCCCCTACCCCCAGTGTAAAAGATGGGGCCAAGAGAAAGGAAGCATGGCCAGAGCACTGTTACACTCTAGCAATCCCCAGCTGCAGGAATGGCCCCTTAAGGTTGTTCTAAGTTTCTCTGCAAGACCAGCAGCCTGAGGATCAGACTGCCCCAAAGGTGACTAACAGCAACCCTGGTGGCTCCCCACACCTCTGAACTGTACTGGGTACAAGATAGTCTGGCCTAATGTGGTTCCGATTTGTTTGTTTGACCATTTTGCAATGGGAAACATTAATTTTATTCAATTTTTCATAACTCAAAAATGGGGGAAGAAAAGGGTTTTCCTCAAACTTTCCTCCTCCTCCCCCTAATCTAATACACCTTTGGGGAAGGCACCAAGTATGAAAAATTTCAGCCCAAATGTTGAGTGTTATGAAAGGTTGTGAAAATGCTGGAATAGAAATATCCCAAGCTATATATGTACTGGGTGCTCACGGGCATCTCTTTTCATATGCAGGGCTTTGGAGCGGAGCACGGAGCTGGAGCACGGAGCAGTGGAGCTGCAGCTTTTGCCTGGAGCTGGAGTGGAGCCGGAGCACAGAAAATCCTGACCGCTCCACTGCTCCAGTTTTTTTTTTTCATTTTCAATCCAAAATGAATTATATTTAGCAAGAAAGTCCTAAAGATGCCAAAAAGTTTCAAATTGTATAACAACTGATATTAACATCTACTTTACCACTTTACGTAATATGTCACAGTTATTCTCACTTCGGCCGAAATCAAGATTTAATGTACAGATACAAAATTACAAAGTTTTGTGGAGATATGTTTTATTAAAGAATCAGATAATTATCAGACATCCTGCAACACTGCAGATGGCTCCCACCCTTGTGCCAAGGTTAGGCGAGTACGTACTCATGTAGATTAGTGAGATAAGTATGTGTTGATAC